ACAATTTAGGGAGTCGTGGAATTATTGCACCACCGCATACAAATTACACCCGAAACTGTGAATGACTCACGTAAAATATCGTGTGCAAAGTATTATTTACACTTCCGAATTGTTCTAGTTCTATTTCATCACACGATGTACAGAGATCACAGAGAGAGAGGAAACCAAAAACTCTGTTTATAGGATTCCTGGCTGTTTGCAGAACCCCAATAGATTACTATATGATTACTGATAGATGGCCCATGGAGGAACATACTTGGAAAGAATGAATAATAGATGTACAATATCGGAACATATTCTGACAAAATACTTCACTTGATAGATGTTCGGTAAAGAAAAATATTCTCACAAATTAGATATTTATCCTAATAAATACCTAATAAATAAAGGAACATATTCTGACAAAATATAATAATAATAATAATAATAATAATAATAATAACAATAATAGTAATAATACAATTATTGCTATTTAAATGTATGTTTAATCAATGTAAATCTATATGTATTATGAAAAATCACCATGTTAGTGATAGATCTATCTATCTATCTATCTATCTATCTATCTATCTATCTATCTATGTGTATCTATATCTCTTCTTGCTGCCATCGATGTCCCTTCACCAGTCCTCTGTCCATGTGTGTCTGGTTTGTGGGGGAAGTGTATGAAATGTGTTGTGCAGATCAGTGGAAATGAAATCTGCATGTTTGGGGCGTCTCATGTTGCAGTAATATATATGTTCATGTAATCAGATCTTGTTGGAAGGGGAGGTGGGGTGCGAATTGCTGTGTTACATTGTAGCGAATTGCGATCCATTATTATTCGTACAATTCTATTTTAGAACTCTGGGGAGCAGGGAATATTTACATACATCGGATGGGTTAAGGTTATATTTTGTAACTTTCAGCACATGTTACTTTCTTTTTATTGTATCTTGTATATTATACTTTATTATGAACCAGCCTGTGCAGCTGCTGTGATTGTGGCAATGCTGGGATTTCTAGTTCTCTACGGTCTGTGTTCCAGGGCTGTGTCATTTATCATGGGTCTCATGATCATCAACCAATAGAAGGCATGACTGCCATGGCGGAGTATTAATTTATACATATTTGTGTATTTGTATCACTTGTCTGTAATTCGGTCCCCCCTGTGTATCTCTCTCTACAACTATCACAGATCACTTGTCTGCGGTGGGTAATGTGTTATTAAAGGGTCAAAGACTTCAGATCATCACTAAACTCCCAGATCCCCAGACAGCAGGACACAAAAAATGTCTTCTGAACACAACAAATGCTGCTGACGTTTGTCCTCAGACAACTCACTGGCAATAATTAATTAATTAAAACAGTGCAAAGAGGGGAAGGGGGAGGGGGAGGGACATTGTGTATAACAACCAATCAGATTCCAGACGCTCAAAACCCAAACTAGCAGCTGATTGGTTGTTGAAGAAAACGCCCCCTCCTATCTTCCCAAAATTTATATTATGAACATTTCCAAAAGCAAAATTCAATCATATTCACATCTAATGAAGGAGGGGGGAAAGGTGGATGTACGGAGGTGCATTTTGTATGCTGATCCAAGCTGCCATGAGGCTGATTTACTAAAAATGATGTTAAGAATCGGTAACAATATATATTATACAACAAATTGTGTGAATATTACGTTTAATTACCCAACAGGGTAATTACCCCAACAGAGTAAAAAAATAGCAAATTGTTGTTTACTTATTTCATCTGCACGTGATTGGATAACTGAAATGGCTATTGGCACAAGTTGACTCCTTTAGTAAATCAGTCTCTGTGCCTTAAACCAAAAAAAGTAAAAGTAGAGTCAAAACTTTTTTTAATTGTATTTTATTGTTGATGGAATGGGGGAGGAGTAATTCCCCTGTGCAGTCTTTAACTTTTTAAATCTTTTTTCCACCCGAGTCTTCATTGATTTCTCTTTACTTCCTGTCCAGCCGATATAGTGAGAACACGGCATTCCAAAGTGAGGGAAAGAGTTGTCACCGGGACAAGTGTCTCCATGAAGATTCCCCCTCTAGTCCTGTTCTGGGGATGACTCCGTATGTTAGAATTCCTATCACTTTCAGTCCCAGGGACAAGAGTCACCAGGACACATACAGAGAGGGGAATTGATCAAAACTGGAGCAGACAAAATCTGGAGCAACTGGGCATGGCAACCAAACAGCTTCTCTCTTTTATTTTCAGATCATCAGTGAACAAGCTGAAGAGAGAAGCTGATTGGTTGCCATGGGCAACTGCTCCAGATCTTGCTGCTCCAATTTTGATAAATTCCCCTCAGAGAACATCTCTCTAACCAAGACAGGACAGCAATAAAAACCCAGCAGGAGTTCTAACCCCTCATTACTCTATACAAAATGAAACAAAGTTTGAGCTTTAGGTGCAGTTTAAATTGAAAAGACTATGGGGGGAATTGATCAAAACTGGATTGTGAATAGCCCGTACAGCACCCCCTCAGTTCTACTGAACCGAAGGGGTCCTGGGGCCGAAGCTAGCCGAAGGATAGGCCGAAGCTACGGCCAAATCCTTCGGCAGCTTCGTGAATAGACCCCTATGTCTTACACTTCTGTATTGCCATAAAAATTGCAATACAAATTTACTTGCTTAAAAAACTGGAGCAGACAAAATCTGGAGCAGGTGCCCATGGCAACCAATCAGCTTCTTGTTCAGTTTGTTCAGTTATGATTTGAAAATGAAAGATAGAAGCTGATTGGTTGCAGTGCGCAACTGCTCCAGATTTCGTCTGCTCCAGTTTTGATCAATTCCTCCCTATTTGTTTTTTGATTACTATCCCTTTAAAAAGATCTGAAATTGGAAAAAACAATGAAAGTGTATTTCCACTTTTTGCAGTCAAATTGAAAGACTCCCCCTATATGCGTGTTTTGTGTTCCCATTCATACAGCAGACCGAATAATACTTTTAAACACATATTTCTCACCTTTTAGATGTTTCTTTGGAGCAGACCTTTAAGGCAGACTGCACCCTATGCAGAACCATTTCAAAGAGAGTCTGACCCCGGACAAAGTGGGGACACGCTGCATTTCCTCCCATTAACATACAATGGGGAATTTATCAAAACTGGGGCAGACAGAATGTGGAGCAGATCCCCAGAGTAACCAATCAGTACCTCTCTTCAGTTTGTTCAGTTAACCTTTGAAAATGAAAGAGAGATGCTGATTGGTTACGCCGCACAGCTGCTCCAGATGCTGCCTGCTCCAGTTTTGAAGCAGTGCTCCAGTGCTGCTAGATCAAGGTTGGGCAACTCTGGTCCTCCAGCTGTGCTTTAACTGCAAATCCCAACATGCCTCTGACTCTGGGAGTCATGCCTGTAACAGCCAGTCTTGCAATGCCTCATGGGACTTGTAGTTCCACAACAGCCGGAGGGCCGGAGTTGCCCACCCTTGATTTACATCTTTAAACATTTGTTAGGACAGGCAGTGTTCAAATCTAGTTTACAACTGACAATGCGATCTGCCAGCACAGTTCATTATGGTAAACATGACCCTCTGTAGCATTGTATAGCAGAGGAGATTTTTTTAGTAAACATGTAAGTAGAAACTTTTATATATTGACCAAAGTCATGTGAATGGAAAGATGTAACCAATATAAATGAGGTGTTATCCCAATTTGGCTGCGAAAGTGAAAGCTCCGATCACACTGCACCGGAACAGAGGGCATTCCTGTACCACGCGTTCCAGTGCGGGCGATCGCACTGTGGGCAGGGGCGTGCCTTCCGTGCCATTGACATGAATGGCACAGGCACGCCCCCTGCCACCCCAGAACGCGGCCCAGCCTGATCGATGCGATCCAGTGTGTTCCGGGCTTGGAAAGCACTGCCTATGGTGTGACTGGGCCCATAATCAGATTGTATGATCACGTTTAGCTCTATCAACAGCTATGTAGTACAAGGAGCTATCTGATTGGATAGATTAGGCAGATATTACATAGTTTTGTTAAATCTAAAGTGAATTGTTCAGTGATTGACTAAGGTCTCATTCACACTGGAATCGTCCGGCACGTACAGCTCCGTGCTGCGTGCAGGGCCGTATCGAGCAGCTCCCTGGAAGGACAGGTGCTGTGTGTGATTAGTACGCAGCTCCCGTCCTTGTCTAAGTGACTACGCGGCCGTATGCCACCCTAAGCTCACCCGATCTGCTTGTCCATGTGGGTGTGGATGAGCGTACTGGTACACTGACAGGATGGATCCTGTCTGCATCTGAGCCAGGAAACACGCACCCCTATGGACCTGCACTTGAGGTGTGCGTAGGGGGGCGTACGGGCGCGTAGTCCCATAGAGAAGGATGGGGGCTGCGTACTAATCACATGCAGCACCTGTCCTTCCCGGGAGCTGCCCGCTACGGCTCTCCACGCACCACAGAGCTGTATGTGCCGGCCGTTTCTAGTGTGAATGAGGCCTACAGCTCATCACACGCTTACAATCTGATTGTACAATCTCCTTTAGCTATGTCGTAGGAGGGCCTGCGTGACTGGATACAAATGAATTGCTAGCTCCTCATATTATATAGTTTTGGTCAATCTAAAGTTGATTATACAGAGATTGTCAGGAGTATGATGAGACTAAGGAATAACCCTCAGTACTGAATGATCAGAGGAACAATGTACAAATATATGGGGACATAACTGAAAAAAATTATATTTTTATTTTTGACTTACAGTTTTAAGGCATTTTCTCAAAAACAAAAAAAAACTTCTGTACCACTGTGCATCAAAACTGGACAATATTAATTAAAAAAAAACCATAGCACTTATATACACAGCTCTAAAATGAGCTTTTATCTGTACAAGAGGCTAGAGCAGGCTTCATCCCGGCTGTGTTCATCTGAATAGTCCAGTCCTCAATGCAAGTCTTGGCAAAAAGTTCCCATTCAGTCCTAATCCCGGCACTGCATGCCTGGCGCTGGAGCGGGGGGCAGTATAGCCGCGGGGACAGGGCTCTGTGTCCGTCTCCAGTGGGTGGGCAGAGCTCTGTGCCTGGTCAAGTAGGTGGGCAGGGCTGTGTCCGAGTCTATCAGGTGGGCGGGGCCTTGTGTCCGACTCTAGTGGGTAGGCGGGGCTCTGTGTCCGGCTCTAGTAGTCCTGCCTTGGGCTGTGTGTCAGACTGTGCCTTCGCAGGTCGCAGTTTCTCCTGAATACTTTGCCGCACTGCTCACAATTGTAGGGCTTGATGTCTGTATGGGTAAGAAGGTGAGTTTTCAGGTTACTTCTTTGATTAAATGTCCTTCCACATGTGGGGCATTTGTGGGGTGATTCCTGTTCAGATTTGAAGCAAGCAAAGGATTAATCCTTTACACTCTCTCCTTTTTTTTTATTATTTCAACTTTTTAATGAATTTTCACTGGTGTTTTAGGACAATAAGCATTAGGGGCTGAAATAAAGTAGATACACTGTTCCCCTTTAATTATCAATATATCACATGAAATAAAGTATTTCATGTGTCACACCTAAGGGGGCTACTGGATGGGCCAGAAAGCTAGAACAAATTCCAATGCGAGTAATCCGAGATTAATAAATATATTGAATATAATTCCATATTAAAATAAATAACATTTTATTTATAGACATAAGGACATATATTTGTAAGGGGATCCCATATGGGAAGGCATTTAGAGTGGGGTAGATACATTTGGGCTTGATCATAAAGGTTATTGGACAGTTTTAAAGGAAAGATAACAACCATTTCATTTATTGGTCAATAACTTCCCCTGGCCATCTGTAATTCTCAGTATAAGGTCACGCTTGGCTGTTTTTACAGACATTTTTCTTATTATGGTACCAGCAGCAAGCAGGAGCGGGCAACTCCAGCCCTCCAGATGTGAAACTACAAGTCCAATGAGGCACTGCACGACTGACAGTTACAGGCATGACTCCCAGAGGCTGAGGCATGTTGGTATTTGTAGTTAAAGCATAGAAGGATGGCTAGAGTTGCACACCCCTGCTGTAGGCTAGATAACACCTCAGTGAACACTCCTGCTAAGGTACTGTGCGGGTCATTCTTACCTGCATGTGTAAGGTTTTATGTACTGCCAGAGTCCTTGATTGACAGAACCCCTTCCCACATTCTTGACACTTGAAGGGTTTTTCTTTGGAATGGATATATCTGAAGTGGGGAGAATAAAAGAAATCAGTAATTAAAAACTTAGTTTAAACATTTAAGATAACAACCACATCAATGGATTGCATTAACCTCAGATAGCCCTGGGAGCCATCGCGATAGGGCCGAGCAGAATGGGTCACTTGAAAACAGATTGGTGATTCTGATCAAAGACTGATTGCTCGCTCTCTGCTAAGAGATTAGTGTACACGAGGCAAACAGTATACATTGTGCTGCTATCTGCCACAAGAACAGCGACCTTCACAAGGCCTTATCTCTAGAGCTCCTGTAAATACATTGTCTGTGAGCTTGCTGAAACAAATTCACTTCAGCGGGCTATAAAACATGGGCCTTGGGCATAAATCAGCCTGTAATGGTGGAATTGTATTTACATGGGGCTACAAGGAAAGATTTATGGCATGTATGAACGCACCAGCACTAATACCTCACCCACCTGAACCATATCATAATTCACAGTTGGGGGGAAGTATAATGACGGACTCTTACTGGCACAAGAGGAACAAACCTTGGGGCGGGAGTGCAGCAATACCAATGGTCCAATAGTCATCCTTGGTTAGCTCTAAGCAGAACTTTCAATGTGTGATTTATGAAAACATAAGCAAATATGGAGTGGTTGCCTATGGTAAACCTACATTCCTGGGCCCTAAACTGGTGTTATGCTGATAGAAAGTAAGAAGGCTACACATACACCATATGTTGTAATGGGAAGGTGGTCTGCATCCATATTTTGGGGGTACAGGGATGGGCAGGGCTTCATAGGCCATGCATATGTTGTCTACCATTTCCAGTGTTCAAGGTTCCTGCACTAGCAAACATGCTACAGCCATGAATGAACCACACGTCATACACATGTTTATGCTTTCCAAGAAAACTGTTACATTTAACTCTCCTTAAAACGTGGCATCTATTTGATAGGGACAATAGCATTCCTTTTGCTCCAGTTTTCATCATTGAGTTCCTCAGCTGTTCTCATTGCCAGGCAGAGTCCTTATGTAATGTTATGGCCTGTATTAGAAGATACAACGGTGCCATCTCTCACTGCCACTGGTCACCAATAAGATTTGAATTAATTGGACTGGCCTCAGAAAATCAGATCTGCACAGTGAGGAACAAACCTGCAAGCTCAGCAAAAGAAAATTGGAAGCATGGCCTCAGTCTCATTACACCAGGTCATGTTGCCTGAGACTTGTGGGCCTATAATAATTGTAGTGTTATAGGTTGTAGAAGCCAGTCCAATGATCTCTCAAGGGTGCTATAATATACTGGTGATCACACATACTATTATTCAATAAGGTGGTGGAAAATAATGAGGTACTAAGTGCAGTTACGTATATATTACAATTGGAATTTACTGAAATAATTCCTATCAACATGAATTTGTTGCAATAAATCACTGAATTTTCATCTTCCTTAATCAAACTACTGCTCGTGTAGCTGATGTGAGTATCAATATTCACTCCTGGTATACAAAAAAAACAACTATTTCTCCAATGACCTCATCCAACAAAACCCCAAATGTTATCAACAATTGTGTTAAAATGGTAGCTGAGGTTGATTTACTAAAGGAGTTGAGAAACTTTAGACAATATATTGTGTGAATAGCAACTTCATTTATCCAATCACATGAAAAGCAAATTCCTTCCTACTCATTTCTTCTGCACATGATTGGATCATTGAAATATTCAGTTTATTGTGTAAAGGTTGTCAGTCCCTTAGTAAATCAGCCCAAACGTCCACTGTCGCACCAATACTCATTTTGTCACTTTGCCATTATTTTATCTCTTGCAATCACTTCTATTGGGTCTAGTCAGGGCCAGGTTAAGAGCATCGTGTGCCTGGTACTGTCAGTCAAATGGAAAGCAGCAGAGGCAGCTCTCTAATTAGGCGGTCGCTCACTCCCCAATGGGGTCATGTAAGACCCCGCAAGGCCCCAGTGAGCAGCCACCTAATATGCTTGATTAGAGAGCCTCTGTCACCTCTGCCTGATTGTGTTCAGCTTGGCCGGCCCCAATTGCCATTGGGCATATCAAGGTGATCAGGGCCAGCAGGGCCTATTTTCAGTGGTAGGCATGGAGCTGGTACTCCAAGACCGCCTATATTATTCTGGCCCTGGGTCTAGTGAAAATATAACTGGACTGTCAAAGATTTTTGTATGGGGGGGGGTGTGGCTGATATCTTGCTCCAGGTCCTGTGGCCTTTAATACATATCTGAAAATAAGACTTTAAAACTATCAAACTGCTTACTCTGAGTTCCTTCAAATTAATTTCTGATTGTTTCCCACTGCTGTACGTTTTACTGTATTATTATATGAGCTATTGTATTTAAAAATCCATGTATCCACTACAGCATGCTGGCATTATGTTATAGTGTACAGATCTTACCTGTGGTCTCTCAGGTGGTCCTGTCTCCTGAAGGCTTTGTGGCAGATATCACATGTGTAAGGCCTTTCATCTGTATGGGTCCTCTCGTGGATTAGCAAGTTGTAGGACTTAGTGAAGTGTCTTCCACAAAACTTGCAGATAAACTCTTTTTTGGTTTTGGACGGTAACCTCCCTCGGGAAGGTTTCCTGTCTGGGGACAATTTGCTGATCTCCGATATGGGGCTCCCAAGACCTGGGCTGAGCTTGGCCAGGTCACCTATTTTAGGTGGGTCCTCCTGGGTTGCAGCAATGGCCAAATTGGCAAAGTCAAATCTAGGCCTGTCTTTGTGCAAGGCTGGGATGACATGAGCAATGGTTCCTTGTTTGGGGTGAAAAAGATGAGTGGCAAAGGGTAAGGCAGGGAAAGAAAATCTGGCGTCTATCAGGCCTTGAGCAGCCATCTCGGTGATGGTGGACCTGGTGATGCCATGCACATTAGGGTAGCCCAAAGTCCAATGATTCATGTGCATTGTCTGTACAGCGCTGAGTCCGTAGAGTCCTTGCAGATGGTCCACAGCTGCTGGGAAAGTGTTGACGGCCTGCAGAAATGAGTAGTTTGTCAGCTGCAAGGATGGATGCAATGGAATTGGGGCTGGAAGGGCTTTGCTACCCATATTGCCAAACGTCTCAAATCACACTAGCCAGCACTTCGCTCTTGGCACTGGATCCGCTCCAGTATAACGAAAGGCCCACCACGCTCAAATCCTGTAGCCAAGAGAAGAAAACAGGAGGGAAAAGAGCATTTATTCTCAATGTGCATCTAATTTCCTTATGTATTTTTTAAGAGTCAAAGCAAAGTGATTCAAGACATGGGAAGAATTCATTTGGCCACAGTAACAGTGAGCACTGATCTTCGGAATAATGTTTTCCAAAGGACTTCACCTCTCCTAATTAGAACCAAAAGGACTAGGCAGCCTCTGCTATTTGGGATCACAGCACGAGAGTGAAGAGCTCTTAAGAAACTGTGCCAGGCACCAATGAGATTATTTGTAAGGGGAAGTCTATAAAACCAGAAACTACTCTCTAAATAAAGCTTACTGAACCACTAGTGATCCATCTGTTGTGGCACTACACATACCAGCATGACTGGGAATGCTGACAGTTGTAGGACTATCACACCAACTGCTTTCAGTGTAATATCTCTGCATTGAAGTGTGATGATCACTGATCATGGGGTATAAAAAAGACTGGGCCACATTCATAATAGAAACATGTGCAAAGGAAGTATAGATGCAGACAGTACTCTCCTTTGAAGAATGCTAGTTGCCTGGCTGGCATGCTGATCCAGGGTCCATAGTACTTTTTTAGCCACTGTGGTTAATTTAGTAAAGTAATAGTAATAGAATAAATTAATAAAGACGGTTTACGTAGCAGGGCTCAAACTTGCAAAGTGAATGTTAGCAAATAGGGCCAACCTGTGAAGGGCCATTCACGTGCAAGGTAAGGAGAATACACATTTTTGCTAACACATAATTGTTCTCAAACCTTATTTACTAACATTTACTTTTGCTAAGTGAACAGCCTCATTTAGCAAATCAGCCCCACTGGCTTCCAAAAACAATGCAGATCGCGATTCCAGACTTCATTCTGACTGGCTGGTGCATGTTTGTGAGTGAATATTGAAGCCAGGGAAAGCCAGGCAACTAGCAGAAGGAGCTCAGCAATGACAGACATCACATTTCTCTCTGTACAAGTTTCCTGTAAGAGCTGATTGTACTAACATGGAGCTTACAGAACTAAACGTGCATTCTCCAACCATGCAGGTCTTGATAAAGTCGTGTATCGCTTTGTCGAGTTTGATGATAATTTAAAGGGCAATATGTGATGCTGTAATTACCAGCAACCAATCAAATATCGTCTATCAACAAAAGTGATTTTTAATTGGTTGCTGCAATGTATCATATGCTTTATTACGCCTTTAGCTGGAATTACTAATGCTGGTGCAGACAGAATCTGGAGCAGATGTATTTGGCAACCAATCAGCTTCAAGCTTTCATTTTCAAAGCTGAACTGAACATGCTGAAGATATAAGCTGATTGGTTACTATACTCGGCAGCTCCAGTTGTAGTAAATTCCCCTATTATGTATTTGCAGCAATGTGCAGAGAACAGTAACCAGTAGCAACCAACAGTTGTCTTTCTTCCTTCTGACTCTATTAAACTGATGAGGGTTGGAATTGGTTTGATGAGACAATTCTTTGCATATCATCATTTTACCTGGCTTTAGGTTATTAAACAAGACCCTTGATAACCTACTACAAAGAGCAGGCACCCATCTTAATTCGCAGTAACCAATCAAAATTCAGATTTCAGCAGCTAATTCTAGTCAAACTTATTAAATCTTCTCAATGACTGGAAGCTGTGAATAAGATTACTCATAGACATAAAACTGACCAAACACTTAACAACCTTATTGCACAACTACCAGGCTCTAGCTGACTGCACTAATGAACTAATTAGATTTGTTTAGATAGCCCAGGGGTAGGCAACCTTGGCACTCCAGTTGTGGTGGAACTACAAAACCTATCATGCTTCTGGGAGTCATTCTTGTGATTGTCAAAGTCTTGCATTGCCTCATGGGACATTGACAGCCACAAGCATGGGGTAGTTTTACCATAGCTGGCAGGCCGAGGTTGCCCACCCCTGATATAGGCCCTCACACTACATACATGTTGCCAAATATAAAGGACATTGTACAATCACATTGTAATGTGTGTGGCCGGCTAAAGGAACGCTACTAAAACTTGTAAATTGCTTCCAAAAATTGTTCCATAAACTGAAGAAAAAAAAACAAAACATTTTACAAATATGTATATGGACGATGCCAGATATTATTGAAGCAATGCCTCCAGGGGCAGGGAATCTGTAATCACAAGTGACCATTTAACTAACATAAGATGGGAAAGCTGACACGTGAAAAGGTCGTCCAATAGAAAACGGACGTAAACTTCCACTTTTAAAGATCAGAGTTTCTGGCAATGTTTGTTTATGAAATATAGACCATATGAGCATTCCATCTGAGACAAATGTTTGCTTGAGTCAATATTGCTCCCTTCTTTATATCATGGTGCTATGCCTGCAGGTATAGCTGATGCTTGCTCCATGAAGACCAATCTCATGTCAATCTGCAAATATCTACACTTGCAGCCTCTCATAGAATAATAAAAAAGTGTTGTCTTTTATCGTTAAGCACCTTGGGGAGCCCGTACCCTTCAATGCATCACTTATTTCCAGTATTTTAGAGCTTCTTGGTTCCTTTTCACTGCCACCTGACTGGTTATCCTGAACAGAACTGGTAAGACTGGAAAGTGACATCCTTTGTAGTCTCTACTGGGATATGTGTGAAGCTCTTCAGAAAAAAAATAAGCTTGTAATGATCCTGTTAATGTAAATACAGTAAACTCTGTTATCCGGTATTCAACTAACCAAAAAAAAATCCTCTGTGTACTCAATATTCTGAGAGAGAGAGAGAGAGAGAGAGAGAGAGAGAGAGAGAGAGAGATTCTACAGAGGATGTTCTCTTAGTAAAGTGAAGCTGTGATTTGTTTTTTCAAGTCTCCTCTGCACCTGATTGGCTGTCCCAAGTGCACATTGTTTTTACACTTTTACTACATCATTCCCATTGAAAACAATGATGATCAATGGCCGGACATTCTCACAGAACAAGGGTTAAAATCTACACAAGCAGAGGGGAAGGAGGAGGGGGACTCAAGACCACCTATTTGTCTTTTTCCACCAAAAGCTCATTCATCAAGGCAATCTAAGAAGATAGAAGACACACTTTTCCTCCAGCACTTCAGGTTCTAAATAAACCGAAGTTTACTGCCAGATCTTTTCCAGATGGTCCCTGGAGAAGCCAGACAGGGGGCCCAGCCACTGGATCATCTGGCCCCTTGTCACCTCCTAGAGACACTGAGGTTAGCTCCTCACATGCAGTGAAAGCCTTATCAGCATTGTAATTGTTGTGCCATTTGTGTTAATACAATACAGGGCACATATAAACTAACATGCCGGACATTCTGAGGCTGATTTACTAAATAATAAAAAAAAAAACTGAGCATGTTAATTAAAAAAATGATTGAATGTTCACTTTAATGATCTAATCTTGTGAAATGCTAACTCCTGTTTTTTTTGGGGAGGGGGTTTCAGCTTGTCTGCACATGACAGGGTAATTGATAATTGAAGTGAATCTCTTTTTTGAGTGATCATTCTCAACTCCTTTAGTATATGAGCTCAGAATTTCAGGGCATGCTAGGACTGAAGAATATGTGTCCCCCAATGTCTCTAGTCCCTATATTGTAGCATTACTTCAGCTGCAGTCCCAAATATTGTTCAAGCCTCTTGTGAAGCCTGAAATAAGTTATATATATCAAGGTTCTTCTGACCATCTATCAAAGCCTGACATTAGGGGTTTGATTAACTTAGGTGCATACACACACACACACACACACACAAACACACACACAAACACACACACACACACACACACACACACACGATTTTTGCTACAACTGTTAGCAATTGATTGCTGAATATCCAATCCTGTGCAGGAAAATTAAAAAAAAACAAGATTTTTACTTGCACTTGATTGGACGATTAATTTGCTAAGTGAACAGCGTCTACTCCATTACAGATCGCCCCCAATGCCTGGATCTCAGGGGAGCCACAGCAGCCAGAACAAAGCATGTTGTCCCAATATAACTTCACACTCATACATTGGCCAATTCTAATATAAAACCTAGTTCTGTAGGAGTTCAGACACTTACATTGTCTAAACTTGATACAAAGCCAGAGACATGCAGTTTGAAAGAAGCTGAGCTCAGCAGTTTTCTAAAGCTAACCGTAAAGTCTGTGACTTGTAGTTCCACTGCAGCCTGCCTACTGGAATCAATGTAATCTAAAGCGTGTAGTTTCGCAGCAGCTGGACACAGCTTAATTATAATGTCGTATTATATGCCAACAGCCCTATTATTATCAATACAAAATAATCCCAAGAACAGGGGGCTGAGAGTCACACCAGGTTTATAGAACACGGTGTTACATCGTACTGGGGCCCAGTATAAAGAACATGAATCCAATGACGACATCATATAAATATTTCATTACAGATTCCTAAACTATCAAATTGTGGAAATAAAACCAATAGGTCTGCACACGGATACAACTATAACATGTATCAAAGTACATCTCAAAATATATTCTCAACTATCAAGTATGTGGAATGCCTATCTGGTATCTGGGCTGATAATGTGCTTTCTGTGCGAAGCTGTTTACAGTGCACATTTTATTTAAAAACTGGAATTATATATTTATAATTTAGAATAATAAATGTCAGACTCCAAAAATATATTGATTTCATTTTTATTTTCAGTTGCTTTCCCCGAGCTATTAGAATATATATATATTCAGATAATATTTATATGCACAGATATTTGCAGTCACAGATTCGCTGAATCATCACTTTCCTATTTAAGTGCTTCAGTCTTAATTTTTATTTTATAGTGTTATGCTGAACAGGGTTAATATAGAATAATTCGATAGATTTATATTCCCTCGATGTCACATTATACTTGTTTAAGGTACAGAATCCTAGCTTGTTAAACTGATAAAAATACACCAAGTCTACAGTAACATACAGAGTAGTCTATGGCATATTACAAAGGTGGAAATTGATGTGAATAAGCTAATAATAAATATATCACTGTAGAGAAAGCTTGTAGTAGATTGGGGCGTCCTCTGCTAATTTAATCGATTATTATTTGTGGGAATATCTTCTGAACCAATCCCCCCCCCCCCACCCCAACCAACACTCACACCCGCCACATCG